AGGGGTTGGGGGGTGCTTCAATGTGGCCTGAAGCTGTCCACTGGATGCACATGCTCTGGGGCCTCCGGAGAGGGACCGATAGAAGTCAGCCACCACCTGTGGCTCACCCAGGGCCACCCAGCATAAGCTACAAAGTGATTTGCAGATGACTGCTCCTTGTGATGGGCTTAGAGGTACCCAGGTTTTTTTTGTTGTTGCAAGAGTGAGAATGATGCTCTTTCCAGTTTCTAAGGTGATACAAATAGCAATTTGATATTCTTCACCATCCACTTAGACAAATACCTTTTCAACAATATATGTTCATCATATTTTCTCAATTCTCCTCTTACAGGACTTTATCTTGATGTAATATGTATTAATGAATGGCTGACAGTATTTTATCTATCATATGTCATACTTCCCCACAGTAAAAGATTCAAACAAATTGGAATTCCAAATTTTTGGCTATGCATTTGTTTCTAAACTCATGAATTGTATGCCAAAAAACATACAGTATTCTGTCTTCAAAATTATTTTTATTGACACATCAGTTGGTGTCTCAATTAGATTATTCAATTTTGTGCAAAGCAAAGAACTGAATACCACCTGGTTTGCAATAGAATTTGTTACTCAGACATTATAATCATTTGCATTCCCAATTTGAGGATGAATAAGACATCACATGAATATCTGTTAGTTTTTCATTTAGAGACTTTATGGTCTGATCATGATGCCTGGCCTTTTATTGTTATAGATTATTTTGTATTACTTTCAGGAATTTAGCGCCATGTGTTGAAAATAATTTTATTTCTTCCTCATTATTGGTGACTTCCCAGTAGAAATTTAGATAATTTGTTGGGGGCCAGATGTAAGCTGGCAAGGTCCTTTCACCTGTAGGGGCTAGCAAGGCTGGGACCCTCAGCTTATAGATGAATTCATTCCACTGGTGACAGCTATGGAATGCATCAATTAACTCTCTTGTGGACCGATAGCCCCAGACACTGGTCTTTGGATCCACCACTGGGTTTGCACTGCGCCTGCACGTCCCCATATAAGACTCAGTTTTAGAAGACTTGGTTGGGATAACTTTTTCATTTGATGTGGATGGTAGGGTGATTGATACCTTCCATTTAAAATATTCATTGATCTAGTTGTTCCCAACTGGGTCCACTGGAATAACCAAAGGAACATTAAAAAACATGGAGTGTTCCCTGACCGGGTGTCTCAGTTGATGGTAACCAATG